AGACACCGACACCAAGTCATTAAAACGTTTGGTCTCGCAAGCCACGCTAGACACTGCAGCAAACAGATGCTGTCTCGAATTTAGTGCTAATTATTACAGTATCCACCCGAATAACATGAGGTCAGCGTCAGATGCAAGCAGTATAGTAAGCTACGTTGGCAAGTCAGGAAGGAACGTGAGCAAAAAACGTTGCTTATATATATTGCTCGTTTAATCAGTCTGTTGTTAGTTCATCGCTCATCTACTGGTTTTTTGTTTTGTTTTGTTTTGTTTTTTTTCACATAGGAGAAACTTTGTTTGAGTTTTTCGCCCTGTAACTTTACCAGTAAGCTCGACTTGAGATTGTTGGCCCAGTTTTCTAGCAAGAGTCCAAACAGACAAATTTCGCGTGATAATGACCGGGATGAATGACAGGGAAACAGAAAAATTTTCTCAGTAAAGCTCTCTTCAGGCCTCCTTCTCACTCGTCCTCCCTCACCCAAGTTTTGCGCGGCTCGAACGTTTTACTTTCGCCGGCTCAACTGTCTCAAAGTTTTGGAAAAGCCCCATTAACTACATACAATTTGTGAATTTAATTTCCTTAACTTAACATGAAAATTCAGCAATTTACCTTCGTGATAACTGAAACTTGAGTTCTCATATTCTCTTATAAAGTGACAACTTTTAGTCCTTTCTTTTAAATGAATACTTTTTCTTTCCCCGGTCGGGAAAATAGATTCAAGTAGACTGAAGGTCTTAAAGTTTTTTAGTTGATAGAGTATATCGAAATTCATCAGCGCAGGAGTTTTTGTAATTAACTGTTGCGATTGCATTTGCTGGTTCAAATTTCATTCGATTCGAAACAAAAATTAGTGCAATTTTCAAATAATTAGATTTAGAAAAACAAAAACAATCAAACAATTGGTCCAGGCGTAAGTTTGGGTTTATCATGATATGGGATGCACACGGGAAGTTTGGGGACTGTTGAAAAGTGAGCAAATAATACTCAAGTCGTTACCGATAGCCCCCAAACTTATTGATTGCTCTCCAAACTTTTCAAGTGCGTACCTCTCGACGAAAGCACAGCTACACGCCTCACTGATACAGACTCGTCGTCAGCAAGCACAATGTGAGTATGAAGCACCCTTGCGCAAGGGAATTTTATTAAAGGGATTTACAAGCTATGTTGAAATTTTTTATATTTAACACATTAAAAAAGTCATGATTCGCTATTTTCAGATGCTCACATTGGCCGCTCGTCTCAGAATTCGCCCACGCTGTCACTTTTAAGACTCTTTTTTTCTATTATATTTCAAATGATTGTTAACTTGTTACCAGTCAGCTAAGCATCTGGTGTCAAATCTCTATGGCCTATGATTCGCAATTAGCCGGAAAAAAATGCGCCGTAATATTGACTGGAAGCTGTTCGTATTGAGACGTAATTAGTTCTTAATTTGGTCCTTACAAGAACCAGTCCGTTGTGAGCGGAAAGATCAGTAATTGTTTTTATGCCCTCTTGGGATCTGTATTTGCATCTTCACTTTGTTTTCAACTTTCAGTTGAAAGGACAAGTTCTTGCTATGTCATGCAAATAAGTTCCTAAGCGAAGTTTTGTTGATTTGGTTTCTTAGCAGTAATTTTTCCCATCAGCTTCGTTAACTTTGCATGTGGCGCTTACGTCGATACCAATTATTTCAAGAAAGAATTCAAAAATAGGTTAACATGTTAGAAATGGTTTGAATTTTTCGCCTGGAAACAAAACCAGTCACTGTTTCATGCTGTGGATCGCTTTTTCTGATAACTGGTGAAAAAAAGATGTTGAAATTCCGGTCGAGGAAAAAGGTACACTTCGTTCCATTTGCCTGTGACAGGTGAGGACAAGAAAACACGAAAAACATGAACGAAGCGAACGCGAGGGTAAGACACCATTGAAGGACTTAACTTAGTGAAACGATTAACTTTGATTGTGATTAACTACGAAACAGTCTTCTTTGAAAATTTCATGTGTTCGGGGTTCTAATGTCGTTAATTCTCATCTGAACAAAGCCGTTCGAAGCTAAATATTGTAAATAGAAAGCTTAATTTAACAGCACGGATTTCAAGGCTCTCTTTGTTAGATAAACATTCACACAGGGTAAATTTATCTGTATCATGGAAACAGAGCGTTCGCAGGTTCTATGAAATTTAATTATGTCTTGATACCCGTATACAGAAACTTTTAGAGCTTATTTCACATGCATCTTTGAAATTTCTATGACTGTAATCCTCGAAAGCAAACTACTTTCAAGAAATCCAGTTAAATGTTGTTCAAGGTATTCGAAGTTACCCTTTTTAACGGCAAATTAAATTTATATTTACGTCGATAGTTCAAAGCCAAAATCTTAACAATGAGTTATGAGAGCTCTGAATCTCATAAAAGGTATCGTTTGAAACACATACTGGAAAACCCTCGGAACCGAGTAATAAATTTTGGAGAGATAGTACACTACGAACTGTTCTAATTTACCACTTTACTTGTAACTACCTCATCGTAATCGATTATCGTCCATTATTCTTTAATAATAGATGCATTTGATGCAAAAAAGCTTGTTTATTTAACCGCTTAACTGCAGTTGAAAGTTGGAAAGGTTTTGTGAAAACTCATGAACATTGGCGGTCAGTGTTTGAAGGCCTTCAATAACAATTCCTTTGACTTAGCTCCTATCTGAAATAAGGAACGGGCACATACTCATAACATTACTCAACCAACAACAATCTGAAATTAAACTATAAATATTCACCGTCGAATTTCAATTTAAATTCAACGAGCTTGTCAGCTGTAAAAAATAGTTTCCGATGTGCTGAGAAAAAAAAACCTGTAAACACGTTTTTGCTTTGTTCCCTAAAAAGGGCATTTAACTGAGCAATGGATGTATATCGTTTTTGGCTCAATGTTCCGTCTGAGGAAATTTTCTAGTCTTAAAAGAGTAAGTAAAGATTGAGGTATATTTACAAAGTATTTCTGTTTTGGGAATATTCTTAAGTAGCACATGCAAACAATTACCAGACTCTGAGTCTCATTATTATCCTATTTATCTGAGTGTGAAATCGTTCACAAACAAATAACCAATTCACAGACCGGCAAAATTAAAATTTTTATTTTCCTCACATGATTTGGCCATGTTGTAATTGTCATCTGTAAGAATTCTGCCAGCTTTCGTGGGTCAAATTAAATGTATGGTATTTGATTAAGCTCTAAATTGTTCAGAAAGGAGCGAAGTTTGGAAGTCTGTGACAAGCTCACCCCGTTTGAAATAATGGAGAAGAATTTGTTTTTAAATTATTGAAATAAAGGTGCAACCTTAAAATTTTGGAACGAGAAATTGAAGACTGGTGAGAAGTCTGTTTCTCGTGGCAAGGTTTCGTTTCAGTTTCACTGACAAAGAGCTCTGTATAGTTTAGAACACATTTGACACCTTAATTCAATGCAGTACTCACGGCGAGTAAAGTTCTCACAAAGCGGGTCTTGATGTTGTGAAGTTACCGCAAGAACAAGACATGACACGGCATTTAAGGCTGCAAACTTTCACCGCCCAAGTTTGCGTTCGTTCCCAGCGCCAAATAAAAGTTTGGCAAGCTAAGCATCAACAAGTAATATTTCCGTGTCTATCATAACAACAAACACAATTAATGGCATATTTAAGAGGGAAAAAGTGTGTGGAGTGACGGCAACCCAATTAACTTTCTTAGACTACTAATCCATAACCGTTACCAAAACTGCGTTAAAGTGTATGTACGTTGCTTTCTGATAAGAGCACAGAAGCGAGTTGTGTTACGACCCGTGTGTCTTGCAAAATGAAGCTTAAATCTTCTGATTCGTCTCTCTAGAAATCTGATTAAACATTCTCCATCCTTAACCGACCTTGTCAGTTTCTTCTGGTAAATTCTCGCCTAGTTTATAATTGTTTACTCCAGCAAATAATCCTTAGAAGGATTCTCTCCGTAATGATTCTCCGTAATATGCATGGCTGCGTTCAATGAGTACTCACTATATATATATATATACATATATATATTATGTTTTGCCGGAATAAACTGACCCATTACAATTGATTAAAGATGTGAGCGGGCAACGCGGTAATATATTATTGACCCTGGGGATGCAAGGGGCTGATTTACGATATGAACGTTATTTTCGTCTATTGAGGCATACTCAGATCGGATTGGTTTGTTGCAACCTTTCCCAGAGGATAAAAATCGAAGGCCAGACGCCAATGGCATATGAAAAATTTACCCGAACATAATCTCGAAAAGTCGAAAAGACTGCCAAGCACATTTATAAGTGTTCTATGGTTCTCTCTGTCTAAATATATTGGCTCACGTTCGTAACATAACAAACCCTCTGAAGACGTTTTGTTGTTCTCTATGTATCAATGCGGTAGGAACAAAAAGCTGAAATTAATGAAGTTCTTCGCTTATTTTAACGACGTTTGTGTTCCAAAATCGAACAGACGCACAACAAATTAAAAATTGTTTGTTGTTATAGACAGGCAAAGTAATATGACTTAACTCGCACTCTGGTCTTGTAACGCTCAACTGCTGCCAGATTTGTTCCAGTTCTCGCTTTCTTAAAGTCCCCACGAAAACTTTTAAATCCTTGCCACTGTTGTTCTTGTCTGCCAACAGCTCGTGCTAACCTTTTTTCTTGGTTTTCCTCTCGCTCAGTGCCAAATTTTTTTGTAAACTTATTCGAAACTGTGTTGCCATGTCCAAAACAAAGAAAATAATTTTTTTCGTCAGTTACATGTCTGTCAATATCAAAAGTAACAACACATCACAGAGAATGTATATTCTGTTTGTTGCAAGAGAAAATAATTGAACCCATTTTTATCTCTTGATCCCTCATGGTTTATTGATGATGAAATACATTCATGTACATACATGCACATGCACATACTCAATTGCATAACTTCACCTTGAGGGTTCTCAGTTAAAAATTGAAAAAAATGGTCAAGACTATTCACACTATATAAATGATGAGCATGACATCGTATTTAAAAATTGTTCGGAGGTTAAAGCGATCCATGTCTCCAGTTTCCTTTGGAAAGGTATTTTAAATCTTTGGCACAGTTGTGACCTTGCACATTGGTAACTCGAGGTTATTCATTTTTTTCCCCTGGCTTTTTTGTCAGGTGTATTATAAAAAAGGCTCGCAACACAAAAGCGTATCGATTTACTGAGAGCTCAGCAGTGAGTGTGTACATTGTGGTTAACCTGTTTCAGGCGTTCAGTTAGCAAAGCGAGGCGCGATAGACGCGGACGAGTGAAATTACAAGGAACTAGATCCAAGCCTCCCTCGTTCTCGCTCGGTCGCCACTACCGCGCCGTTTTCTATTTCGCTGCGTTTTATCAACTGGACGCCTGACAAAGGTTACGGTGTTTTTGTAATCAAGACATGCAGACATAGAAAGAAACTTTATATAAATAAGCTAGAACTTTCTCAGATTCAGAATTAATAAAAGATTTCTACTTTCACAGCAACAGAACGGGAATGTCACACAACTGAAGCAACACACCGCAGGAGCCGCAAGACTATCACAAGCCAGTGTAATAAGCTATGCAAGCCAGTTCAGCCGGGCGGCCCGGCGAAGTAGCGACACGAGTAGTGATGATGGAAAACCTGTCAGAGATTTCTTTAAGAATATAATGCAGAAACTGTGTCCTGAGCGGCCCAGATATTTCAACCGACCTCTGGCAGACAAACATGACTGTAATGATGAGGTGAGGTTAAAGAAACTTAATTTGACTTTACATTGAAGTAAAATAATGGAATTTTAAGGCTTCTCAAGACAAGTTATTGCCTGCGCGATGGAATTTAAATGCCATTTCCCCCAGAACTATAAGTGAAACTAACCCTTACCTCTAGCAGTTTAACAGACCTTCACAATGATGAAGCGGGTTTTGTGCGGAAGTCTCGTTCACATCGAGGAACTAATTGTTTTTCCTTCGGGATATCTTAGTAGCAAATCGTTAAATTTATAAAGTTAGTCTTAGGTCACTTCGGCCGACAGATGATCAAGCACAGTTATATTTGAACTATACGTACGGAGATCGGTGAATAATTCACTCTATCTATGTTCTACCAGATTAGTTTAAGTCGTCAAGGTGTTTTGGTCATTAAGGGAGTTTAATCTCTCAAAAGCATTTAATGACTTGTAATTCAAACCATGTCTTTATTCTTGGTTTACTGGATCGTAGTAATGTTACGAGAATAATCTGGTCGAAAAGGAAAGATGTCATGAGCAATGGTTCAATGCCAAACGCAATACAACTTCTGTATCTATTACTATTGTTTACAAAACATAGCATCGTTTACACTTTCCATTGTGATTCTAAGTGCCTGTTTTCAAGCATCCTTAAAGGAAAAATGTATCCCTAGTCGGACTGCTTTGAAAAACCAATTATGATAAGTATGAAAGTTTTTTAGAGTCGTCATTCACTTAGCAATCAGTTTAAGTACTTCGGGGAATCATGTCTTTTGATAGAAACTTTCTCAGTCTTCCGGTCTTTCCAACCGTTACGTTGGGGATAATTTTATAAACAAGGCTAAGCGCGCTACAAGTCTGAAAGGAAAGAAATTCTTTGACAAATCTGTAAGCTCTTGTTCGGAGAGACAAAAAATTAGTCGTAGAAGTGAGCTGCGGTTCTCTTATACAACAGTGGCACAAGTAAAGGGTAATAGAATTTTACAAAACAAGCAGCTTTCACTCCGGCATGTTGTTGATCATTCATAATTTATCATCAAAGTGAATGAATTCTGTAATCTGTTTTCCTCACAAAATTCAAGTGTTTTCTTGATACTTTTTTCTCAATTCAAATGTTTAGTCTACACGCTACAATAGATTTTCTCTGCCAGTTTCTAGAAGTAAACCAGTACCAGAATGTAACGAACTCCCCAAGCAAGCCTGCCAGGAGATTGTGTTTTTTTCTCATAATTTCTAATGCTAGATACTGATAAGGGGATTAAAAATCGGAAATTTAAAAAATGAAGAGTTTTTTTCAAGCAGAGGCATTTTGATTACGTGATATTTACAAAGATAGTGAACAACCTCTGATTGGACGATTTATAGCAGGTGAATTTGGAGGATATTGGCTATGACATCGACAAAGGGATGTGGCTCGAATATGAGCAGACGAAAATAACTGCCAAGGAGACCATCTCGCGTACAGTTTGATCTCGTTGAAAGCTGGTATATTGCTGAAAAAACCTTTAAAGTGATATTCAGTTTGGTTAATATGAACGTAGCCTTCACGTGAGCTTGCTCTGCATCTACCAGGTCGCGTCGCGTCGCGTCGCGTCGCGTCACGTCCTTGACAAGCAAACCGTAAGAGTCAGAGGTCGTTGAGTGGTGTGGGAGTTGAATGACTTACACAGAGCACGTTTATCCCTTTAACTCCCAAGATCTGATTGTTAATTCTCCCCTCCAGCTGCGAAACATTCCTTATAAATTGGTTATGAGAACTTGGTGCTGGATCAAGATAGCAGCTTCTACCTGATAAGTTTGAATATTCTTATCACCTGTTTGCTGATTAATGTATGGATATTATAGGGAGAAGTTTCATGTTGATCGCTTCCGGGAGTTAAAGGGTTAATTAAAAGATGTAAACCTGACGAAACCGGATCGCGGGCTCTAACAACACTTAGCTGCGTTACAAACCATTTAAGAGGCCGTTATATTTCCCTCTGGTTAATTCTTACTGCTGATATAGATATTTTAAGGCTTAGACATTCTAATTTTCCTAAAATATGGTTGCCTAAATTGCCTAAAATATGGATGCCCTTCGGATTCGTTCATCATTTGTCTTAAGAAGAATGCTTTCTTGATTTTTCATTTCTGAGCATCTGTCTATTTCAGTAACGCCGATAAAAGCTTCAAATTTTGAAGCTTTTCCGTTTCCAGCTCCATCTTGCAAAAATCACTAATATTGAGACCGGTTGTCTGATATTCAGATAGAGATAGACAACAACGAGATGTAAAAAAAAAACCTTATTGCTAAGAGATGGAAAATAAACTAAAAAAAAAAAGGAAAAACGATTTCCATTCTCCATTTTTCATGATTTACGTCAGACTAAACAAGCTTCAGTTTTATCTTCACTCCATTTTTGTGGGTTCTTAGTCTATCGGCACTTTAAAATCATTTGAATTTTTTTGTTTGCAAGATTTCCTCAAAATAGAAAAGCTGAGTTTCATGCAGGCCCGTTTACGCTACTTTATTTCTTTTATGCCGTTCAGCCAAGTATAAGCTTCTCGCCGTTCTTTGTGAATGTCTTAGTTACTGCAATCAAAACGGTTACTGTAGTGAGACGAAAACCACCAAACAGCCACCTCCTCGCCAAACAAAGCATGTTAGTGTTAATGCATTTTAATGCGAACAAGATTTGTATATCACAAACCATTTCTCTTCTCTTTGTTCGAGGTACGAGGCATACTGTGTTACCGTGGCAACTCCAATGGTTGCTGTCGTTCATTCTCTAAAAGCTTTTCACGAAGACGTAATCGAATGAAAAAAAAAGTCTTTTGAAGAAAACCGCACGATAACAGGATTTCCTTAGAATTTTGTTCTAAAGGGAGGATGAAAAGTGCCCGCAGCTTTTTACAGGCTTCTCTCCAACTGTAGATGTTCATTGTTACGCAATAACTGCAGAGGAAAAAATCCGTTTTCTGCAACGTAGCTCTACAGCTTGCTCCTCATTGGCTTGTCGGGAATATTCAATTATCCAGGTTCCCACACGCAAAACCTCAAACTTTTGTCTTCGCGTAAGCTATAAAACGAGTGGACACCTGGTCACCGAGATGAAATGTTTGATCTCTTTAGACGTCTATACTCTTTTGCATTAAGCTTCTGATTCCGGAGATGAATTCATCTTCCGCTCTTGCTATGACAACGTTTTATTAACTACACCATACATGGGCGCTCTTAGTGAAACCTGGGTGGACTTTCTTGATAAGTTTAACTCTTCAGAGGTAGGCTCATATAAGACTAAATCTTGCGTTACTTTTCTTTGAACATAAATAATTCTTGATTGTGATAAAGATTCGGCAATGATATTTCCATTTTCGCACGTGGGTCTAAGTTGATATGATAAACGACTTACAAGACGTCTGGCCACCGTTGAAAGGTACTCGAAGTTAGAGAGGTGAAATCTTGAGTATTCAGAGGCGAATCCTTACAAAAATTTCGTCAAATTTCGGATGCGTATTTTAAAAATTATGTTATTGCACCAAATGTACCCGTTTGCTACCGCTTACACAGCTTAAAAACTGTAATTTTGAAATGATTATGTGGTCTTTGTACAAATTAAAAGTAAATCCATGATCAACAACCTCTATGGGGCCTAATTGGCAAAATATAATTCACGGAACATCTTAAAATTCTTCATTGGACATATGTACAATGACAACTATTAAACAATGCAGACTGACGCTTTTCCGAAATCGTCTTGTTTGTTGACTCATATTCGCCGGTTACTTCAAAGAACAACAAACGTGTTTTTTTCTTAAATGATTTCAAATAAGCTATCTATACCAACACTTTAACTGCATGTAATTTTGACTCAAATATATTCCATTTTTAAGCCGTAATTGGGCTGTTTTGTATTTACCTGAAAAAATACAAAGTAAGAAGTCACGCTGGGTTTTTGTTAAGATCATCAGACGGCCTTGAGGAGGAAGAATTACTTCCTTTGAGCGTTGTTCCTTATCTAAGAACGTATTGGATTTTGAAAACACTTTAAGTGCTTTACCATCTGTCGAGGATATTTTTTAGATGCGTGCATCAAGAATCTATTGTTTGCCACTGAGAAAGATTACTCTAACATAACATTTTGTCCCAGTCATTTCGAAGCAATGGAAATTAGTGAAAGACTAACTGAAAAGAAGTGCAGACGGCTCAAACTAACTTGATCATTTTCAAATCAATTTTAAGTCATCCATTCTCACGGTGCAGTCGTGGAGGTGAAATAACAGAATACTGCCACTACTATTGAAACATGCTGTCGACATGTTTGAAGAGCGTTCGTGCCTCCGGTCTTAATTTTGAGTACTTATACATGTATGTACACAATTTACTTTCATTTAATGTTTTCCTAAAAATCTCCCTTCCGATTTTCGGTATCTATCCAAACACCGCCTCAAATCGTGTAAAGATGTTGCGAAGCAGCTGCCGAAAACCTTTATTATTGTGTCAGCGAATTTAACGAATTTCACTTGTTTAATAATGTAACGATATCGAAAAAATTCCGCCTGTTGTCAACGCTTCACTAATTGAAAACGAAATCGACAAAGAACACTGGAGTGTTCTCGTTCTTTGGCTCCGTGTGTGTGCGGCGCGCGGTCGTTTGATTTGCAAATACGATTGAATACTATTATAAATGTATATATGTGACGTTTATGGTCAGTTGATTTGCGGTTAGGAAGCCAGATCGGCTCTGTCTTGCAGAATAATTTTTCATATTAAATTCCTATCGCTTATAAAATGGCCTTAAAATTTTCCGTGCTCCGTCGAAGATCACGCCTTAAGTTTTCAATGCAATTTTTTTTTTGGATAATGTCGAGGCATTGTCCAGCTGGAAAGTGATAGCGCACAAACGTATTTACCTGAGGATGTTATCTCAATGTTATAGCAACTTTCGTACCTAATTTACAATTGAATCTATAGCAACTGCTAGAGGGGAGATTTTCGAACCATATCTAGAAGCTAACGACGGGTT